CGTGCCCCGCCTCTGGTGCCAGGGGCAGCCTCAGAGCCCCCGCCATCGCCTCTGCCTGGGCGGCCGACTCGATCACCACGTTGTACGGAGGCGGCTCGTTCAGCGGGGAGGGCACCGAGCCCGGGCTGGATGCAGTCGTCCACACTGCCGGGCCCGAGGCGGCCATCGCCTCCTCGTAGGTGGGCGCCTCGTAGGCGGCGTTCACCCTGTGCGGAGAGGAGAGGGGCACACGGCCCAGTCAGTGCTTGGCTCCCGCAGGGGCAGGCAGTCCACAGGATTTATTAAAACAAAAAAACAGGGCCTTGCTTCTTTAATACGTTAGCTCAATGTTCATCTGTTTTTCAGAAGTGGTGAAAATTACGTATTTTAATTTAGTTTAGATGGGGACTAACTGTTGTGTGTTAAAAGGGATCTGCAGGAAAAACTGTTACTTTAGAGACAATTTCCGCTTTTAGGTGGAATTTTTAAATACACAAATACTATTTCTCGTCTAGTATGTGGCCAAGCTAGGAAAGCAGAACAGACTTTGTGTACTCTTTCTAAAAATAAACACACAATAACATTTAGACCCTCCTTTAAACCCTGTATTTGAGAATGTCAGGTCATTTATGGATGTGGATAATGACTACCTGGATTATACAGACAAGGAAGCAAAGAAAGTTAAACTCTTTGAAACTAGAGAAGGCAAACTTGGGTGAAACTAGGCAATGCTGAGAACCTGCAATGTATGTGAAGCCAAAAAGATGTGGGAGTACTCTCAAAATCAGGGTTTATTAGTGTCAAGTTGGGTTATTAAGGCTGGAAGCACACCCAGTTACAGGTTCCTTTTTGAGTTTGCTGAGGAGCAGTTGCTCTGGAGATAAGTTTTATAGAGCCAGACCCAGCTCAGACTCCGTACTGCTGCGGCATTTTTTTCTTTTTCCGTGTGTGACTCATTGTTTGGCAAGACTCTAAAATAAAACTGGGCCTGGATTTGTTTAACCTTGGGAATAGTCAGTGGATCAGTTCTTCACTGGAAGAAGGTAGATATTGGACAAGATACAGGACCTGCATGGCACAAACATGTGCAGCCTGCGCCTGAATAGCGAGTGAAAACAAGCTAAAAAACTTTTGCCTTCCGGAATGGAGTCTGTGTTTGGTATCCCGGGGAAGGGCAGCAAAACACTATGTAAAATGGCCATGACTGAGGAGAGCGAGTTAGAGAGCAATAACCAGGCTGCTGCTTACCCTGCTTGGCTCTGCCTGCGCGGGGTTATCTCCTCTGCGTCATGTCGGCGCTCATTCCGCAGGTAACACTCGACAAACATGCTCAGCAAATAGCCGACCAGGCACACTCCCCCTACCCCTAGGAAAAAATAGCCTACTGGGTTGATGTTAGATGAAATGGCCAGCATGGTCACCCCAATGAGAAGAGCAGCAGTGAAAAGAAGCAGCAAGGCTTGGCGAAGGTTCCTCCAGTGTGACTCTAACCACATGGCAGTGCAGGTGGTGGTAGCAGACAGCTGAGAACGGGTGAGCAGCTAAGGAGACTGACGTCTGTGGGAGATGGAATAGGGTTTGTGATGTGAAACAGGAGCGGACAAACACGTTAGCAGTACCATGACCAAAACAAGTACGTGCTGGAGCAGCTGCCACCACGGGAGCACGCAGCAGGTCTGTGCCTAGCTGTGTGCCAACGTGAAGGCACCAGGATCTCCTAGGTGCATGCAGGCTGAATAATGGCAGCACTTAGACATGCACTTGCAAGTCAAAATGCATAAATGGAGCATCGGCACTTATTGCCAGGCTTATCCAAAAAGGTCTAGCTTCCTAGAGCCATCTAGGATGCAGATTTAAAGTTACTAGGATAGTGAAAAGCAGAGTAATTTAAAGGCTAATTCTAGGGCGTTTGTACATTGCACAATAAATATTCAGATACTAGTTCAGATCCTGGGAAAAAAAGCAGCCTTATTAAAGGGACTGTCTGCCCAAGCAAACTGAGTATTAACTTCAGTGCAGCAGTACAGCAACAGCACTGCTTTGTATAGCTGGGTATGTCTGGTCTCACAAAATGTAGGCATGAGTTTGAATATCTGCCTATGTTCTCAGTCCCACCATTCTCAAACACGAGAGCCCTTCCCGTCCCCATTCCAAACCCCATCTCTTACTGCACACGGGGATAACTGCTGTCTTTCAGCATGGAACACCACAGATCCCCAGAATTCATTCATCAATACCATAATTAATGAGCCATCTCTCATGCTATGCCAACCTACATACATCCAACTGCTTTGATGAAGACCCCTTTGAAAGAAACAAGCATGACACAAGGGGCGTATTTGCTCTGAATAAGCACCTCCAAAGACACAGTTTTATGTAGTTCCATGTTACCTCGTGTGCTTTTTTACAGTAAATGCACTCCCTCGTTACAACAAAAATAAATGTGTATATACAAATGCCAGCAAAAGCAACACACACTTACCAGAGAGAGGTTTTGGTAGGTAGCAGTCATGTTTTAACTTCTCTCTTCATCACAGGCAAAAACATGCAAGCTCTTTTGTTGCTGCTCCTTCCCCTTCTGACCTGAGAGGATGGAACACGAGTAGAACTCGCCCTTTCTCCTTTTGAGTTTTCCTGTAGGAAGACAACAAAGTTTCTTTTGAAGCTAGTGAATATGGCAGGGTACCAAACAATGGGAAGGTCCCGTTGTAGGAGTTTCACATGGGAAACCAGAACCTCCTTTTTCCAGGTTCTGAATCCAGAACAATTTCTAGGTGGTCACATACTTGGAGCTCTTCTGGATCTGTCCCACGAAAGCAGGAAACTCATGAGGGAGGAGGGTGGAGGAAGCAGTGGGGGAGTGCTTACCTGCGTGGGATCTGTTGGTCTGCTTTGCTTTAGTGACAGAAACTGCCCTGAAAATTAAGTTCTTTGGCACGCACAGCGGAGGAATCCTGATCTCTGCCTCACGAAGCAGGAAGAGCTGCTGGCCCAGCCCACATCACATGGTACACACAAATCTATTTATGAGTTCTGTGAAAGGTAAATCTATACATTTTGCAATCCTGATTGGGTGCTATATGTCAGATGTTATTTTATGCTCTCTTTTTACAAATTTTACAAACAAAAGGGAGACAATGGATTATTATTCTGCAGAGGGCCGAGTTAAAATCCTTTTTACTCCCTGATATATATGGGAACGAGGAGTACTGATAAGCAGTAGAACAGGTACTGAGTCACTTTGTGAAGTCTGTTATCATCTAAGCCTTTAGTGTGTGTCTGAAAGAATAGAAATTTTAGTTGGATCTACAAGGATTATCTAGCTGTGATCACTTCAGGGCTGTCCAAAAGTTAAATCATGTTGTTAAGGGCATTGTCCAGATGCCTCTTAAACGTTGACAGCCTCAGGACACCAGGCACCTCTCTAGGAAGCCTGTTCTGGTGTTGGAACTCTCTTGGTAAGGAAATGCTCCCTGACGTCCAGCCTAACGTCCCCGTGCAGCTCTGGGCCATTCCCACACGCCCTGTCACTGGATTCCAGGGGAGGGATCAGCACCTCCTGCTCCACCCCCCCTCCCGTGGAAGCCGTGGGATGTGAGGGCTGGAGAGCTTTGGCAACTGAAGGAACTGGGTCTGTACAGCCTAGAGAAGAGAAGGTGTGGACAGGTGGCAAGTGTCTACTAAGAGCTTCCCAATGTCTGTATGTGGTTACAGAAGGGAGAGAGGTACATGGAGGATACATGGGTCAGGAGTCAACAGGGAAGAGTAAGTGCCTCAGGCTGTAAGAAAAAGTCCTCCATGTGAAAACCACAAATCATGACAACTCCTTATCCAGAGAAGTGGAGGAATCATCTTGGCTGGAATATTCAAGACACAGCTAAGGCTTTCCTTTCAGTAAGGGGCTGGTCCAGATTATCTCCCCTTCCAGCCTAGACTGGTCAACGTTCCAAATATTTTTCCCCTGGCAATTGCCTTTTTGGCTGCTGGCAGAAAAATGACCTTCTTCTCTGACTGTTATCCACTCCTCACTTTCAAAAGAATTCCTTTGAAGATGACAGACTTAACATCCACCGTAGGAAGTCCAGTGTGCAGTCATTTAAAGGGGAAGACTGATTCATTTCTTAGTTTCTTCAGTTCCAAATGGAATTTGTTTCCATTTTGGGGTTGCCTAGTGCTGAGAACACCTTAACTGCTCAGCAAGATTCAACAGCACTGTTTTCATGGCCTCTCTGCACAGAAATCATGACTGACTCATGCTGGAATCTGGACACCTTGGTACTAACAGCTTCCTTCTAACTGGGGTAGTTAGTGTTTGCTAGAACTGTTCCTTAGACATAAAAGATCTCTATGCTGCTGGGTTGAGGAGGAGATTAAAGTCTCCTGCAGACCTCGGCTAAGTGAGTTATTGTAGTGGAAGAGCATCACTACTAGGATTCCTGTTCCAAGAAAGAGGTTCTGCTTTTTGAAGTAGTGAGTGAAAGTGTGGTTTGACAAACCTAACAGATAATTGCTGTGAAATATGGCAGCCCTTTCTCCATCTTCTCCTGTCCTCCTTGCAGTGGTTCTAGTGCTCAGCTGTCTCAGCTCGTGGGAGAGCATTTGCATCTTTCTAAAGTGACTCCAGTCACTGCAGGATCTCCCAACCCCTAGATCCCCATGCAAGGGGAGCAATGGGAATGCACAGCTAGAGAGGTGGAGCATGAATAATTTACAGGGCTCCAGTGGGCTTCATTTAGGTTGGTTCAGCCCAAACCACTGAAGCAGAAGAAAGCTTTTCCTCCTTTGACTGAGTAAGCCCCACCAGAAATATAGAATCTAAGACCCATCTCTTTTGCTGACCACTTGCCCAACAAGGAAGAACATTATAATTAACAGGCAAAGTCCTCCCTCCACTCTTAAACCATACACCAGTGATCCAACATGCCAGACCACTGGAGAGAGAAATAAGTCAATCCATTCACTCACAGGATGTGCAGAAGGGAGCAAGCCAGCCAAGGAACCATGCCATGGGAAATGGAATCAGCCAGTCTATAAGTCCCAGATAGACATTCATGATCTTCTTGTGCCATCCTGGGAACTCCACTTGCTACAAAGAGCCAAGGACCCCCTTTCAATGACCAGAATCCCCACAGAGCACATCCACTCCACAAGCAAACCACCCAACACCACTGCCAGCAGATTCAGCTCTTATAGAGTTGGCTTCTACCCCACCTCCAAGTTCATGTGGAAGGTGGGGGCACCTGGTGGGGATCTCCTCATCAGCTCCCACCCCAGGCTGGCCAGGCCCTGGGTGAAAACCCATCAGGAGGGGCTTTCTTGCCTGGTTGTGGACACCATCCCTATGCCAACCCTCCTTCAGGGCTGGGGCCTTAACCCCAGCACTTCACCATCTTGTCCTCAGCAACTTCTATTAATTATATCAGGGGTTTCCAGCTCAGCCTGGTAACTTCAGGCAGCCACAGCTGTGGACACTGCCTGCTGTTGAATCCCTTTCCTCAGTACCTACAGAAGGTGCTTGTCCTTCTGGAAGCTCTGTGGAGGCAGCTGAGGCACTTTACTTGTCTTCACATTCTCCTGTGGGAAGTAGGCCCATAAAAACTGTGTGGGACTAGAACTTTTAGCTAAGTTGGGGGAAAGGCAGAAAGGTGAAAAAGATCTTCATTATTTGATGGAAAACTACCTCTGTGATTGGAACAGCTGCATTTGGGTTGTGGGTAGACAGGAAGATGTAGGTTTTGATGAAAGTTTGTATGCTCATTTTGATTGGTTGCACTATTTTTAAAAATATTTGTAGACATAGCTACAAAATATCAAGATGAAAAAGGCTAAAAATGGTATTTCTGCTGCTAGTTATTCATTGTATCACTTCAGTTTATTTCAGTTGAAGTTTATAGTTTAGTAACTCCCGTGTATTTTGCCCACAGAGGTACATGAATGGCTGGGCTGGATCTTTAGGAATTATTTTTATGCATTTACAAGAATGAGACTTCACCATGCAGCTGTGAATGCATTAGCTGAACACGTTTACCAATGTGATACTGACTGCTTTGTGGCTCTGAGGGTACAAAGCAGGGTGAACTTCTATGCATTAACCTTTGCAGTATGACTTCTAGCACCACAGTGCTTCCACGTGAGGCTTTTGGGCATTTCTGAAGGACTTCTGAAATTTTTATCTGTCTGCCGTGTTGATTCTTTCCATAGCCTGGTTCAGAATTTCATTGGTTACAATGTGTGTGGATCCATAACTAAGAAAAAATGACCAAGCAGCTGCACCGAGAAGTTTTGGGTGCTGATGAGATTCAGAAACTGCAGAGGAGCTTGGGAAGGAGTTTGTGAAGCGTGGCAGAAGTCGTGGGGGAGACGAGGAGGACATCTGTGCTGCTGTCCTAAACAGTCTCCCTTTCATGGGCAGTAGAGATTTATTTTTTTACTAGAAAGCTTTCTTTTCTCTGTTATTCAACCATGCTGTGGAGACCAGACTTCATTTAACAGCACA